GATGAAAAGTGGGATGGTTGGGGTAGGGAATGTTTTGAAACTCTTCTGGAAGATTGTGCAGCTACCTTGGGTTGCTTGGTGGGGGAGTTTCACTTATTTGGGCTTCCTAATTGGGGCAAAGGCTTTGTTCAGTCTCTTTAGCTTGGCAATTGGTTCTTGATAGAATTGACCAAAGGTTGTAAGGATGGAAGGGGGATGTATCTTTCTCTTGGTGGTAGGATAACTCTTATTAAGAGTGTGCTGTCTAATCTATTGGTGTACTACCTCATTATTAAAGGCTCCAGCTTTTGTGACAAGTTCAATAGAAAAAATGTAAAGGGAGTTTTTACGGGGAGCCAAAGGGCTTGAAATGGAAGAGAAGTGTGGTGCCGAAGATTTAGATGATCTCTTTTTAATTGGGAAATCCGGGAATGTGTAGATCTACTTGCAAAGCTATAGTCAGCTGAAAGCACAAGTGCATAGGTGGGACTCAAGGTGGTGGAAAGAGTCTTGTAATGGACTGTTTTTGGTCAAGTCCTTCTACAAGGCTCTGCCAAGGAGTGATGGAGAAAATTTAGACTTAAAAGGGATTTGGGGAAACCCTGTCCCTCCAAGGGTGGAAGCCTTTGCTTGGCTAGTGGCTTTGGATAGCATTTTCACCTTAAATCATATTCAAAGCAGAGGTTTCCACTTAGCTAGCAGATGTTACTTATGTGAGAATGCAGAGGAGAATGCCTACCATTTGTTTATTGAGTGCCCCTATACTAAGTTCATCTGGGCTTTCTTCTTTGGACTTTCAAGGCTAGGTGGGTGGATCCTTGTTCGGCAGAAGAGTTATTCTATAGGTGGCCAGGTGGGGGAAATATCAAGGCAATGATCACCTGGAGCTGCATTCCTTTTACTGTGTGTTGGGAAACCTGGAAAGAAAGAAATAGGAGAATATTTGATGTTTTAGCTCGATCAAGGAACATCACCCTTGTCTGTGGTAAAAAATATGGGCTGGGTTCTCATTCTTCTAGAGTTTGGAACATTCTTGAGCTGGTTTAGAAGTGTTGTCTTTCTCTTGGCTTTTGTTCTTTCCCTTCTTTGCTTTTCTACTTTCTGTATTGTTTTGTAATCCTGGTGATCTCTCATCACCCTCAGTTGTACATCCTTCTATTTTAATAAATTTTGTTTTTTATTTACTACCAAAAAATATAAATTTTCTTTTTCTCCTCATCCTCCAGCTCTTTAAACAGCTTCCTTGCGAACGCTTTACCCCCCCCC